ATCGAAGATTGCAAGTTTGTACTCAAGTACAAGCACCCGATTCATCTTGCGATGAGTTGAGGAATGGTTATAATGACGTCATTGATCATAATAATATTAATGGTTTTGGTTATGAAATACAGTTGAATGCTTGCGTAATTGTTTGTGTCGGAGATTGCGAGTTTGTACTCAAGTACAAGCACGCGCTTTATCTTGCGATGAGTTAAGAAATGGTTATAATGACGTTATTGATAATGGTGATAATAGTAATGATAGTAATAATAATATTAATAATAATAGTAATGATAGTAATAATGATTTTGGTTATGAAATACAGTTGAATGCTTGCGTAATTGTTTGTTTCGAAGATTGCGAGTTTATACTCAAGTACAAGCACGCGCTTTATCTTGTGATGAGTTAAGGAATGGTTATAATGACGTTATTGATAATGATGATAATAGTAATGCTAGTAATAATAATATTAATAATAATAGTAATGATAGTAATAATGATTTTGGTTATGAAATACAGTTGAATGCTTGCGTAATTGTTTGTTTCGAAGGTTGCGATTATTTCGCTGCATATGATGTGGAGATTGAGGTAAAGTAACTTGTATTAAGTTCTTCTATTCTCTTTTATGCTATAAGTAATGTATAAAAAAACTTTTCGCAGTGCAATGATTTCATCACATAATTAAGGAAATTCTCACGTAATAGTGCATTATTTCGAAATCTGAAGAGTTACACTTTTGTAACTCTTTTATTTTTTGTATGTAATGATGGTTACAAAAAAAAATTTAATAGCAAACTTTTAAGCTGTCTCTTGCTTAAAATATAATGTTATGCCACATCCTTATATATAAGTGTGTACAAAGAATTTTTTAATTTTATCTCTAGATTGTATGTAACATATTGCATTTAGGTTTACATTATAAAAATACAAAAATATTAGCTGCAGAAATTTTTTGAATATGTATGGGAATTTCCTTTTTTTTTGAGACTTCAGATTTACAAGAAAAATTTTTCGTTTATTATTTTTTCATTAAAAATTTTCTTAGCACAAAAAGTTACAATAGATTTGTTTATTTTAAGCAAGAAAATGTGTCTTGTTTTTGTTAGTCATTTAATTCGGTAATTTGAAATGAAGTAATAAAAATGTGAGTGATTGATAGTAATAGGTTTCGGTGTTAAGTGCATCAGCAGAAGCATCATTCTCCTTCTTGCTTTAGCAACCATATATATAGTTGCATCAAATGGCATCATAGTGCATGACAACAAAGTATTACATTTATTAAAGTTACAAAATTTTGTCGTGCTTTTTTTTTGTTAATTTAACTTACATTAATGCTTAGGCAAGTTAGTCATTACAATTCTGTTCTAGAATCACACATAAATGAGTTATAAATTAAGGCTTAAGAAATTTAGAATGTTCATTGTTAGGTAGTGTTAAGTTCTTTTTTATTTCTTTTTTTCTAAATAGTAAGTTAATTTTCTTTTCTTAATGACTTGTACTCAGAGTTTATTTTTAGTGGTACATCAAACTGGTTGTCTGGGGAGGAACGATCTAGACTTGAAGCAGTTCAGAGAGATTGGCGTCTTTCGAGACCAGCAAAGCCTTATTCGGTTTGTTGCTTGCATTAAATTTTTTTTCATAATCGGCACTGCCAATATTTGCAAGAATTTTTTTATGACTTTTATGAGCAAAAAAAATAAATCATACATAGATCAGCTGACTTGAAAATGAATAAGTGGAAAAAAAGAAGTTTCTTATCAGATTCGTTTTAAATTTTATTTTCTTGCATATATATATATATATATATATATATATATATATATATA